GGCCTCCTGCTGGTCGAGGCAGCTGCGGCTGCCTCCTGCTGCTCGGGGCCGCCTCCTGCTGGTCGAGGCCGCTGCGGCTGCCTTCTTAAAGGCAGGCTTCAAATTGCGAGGCCTACTTAAATTCATGAGAATCGCATAGGACGGCATTCGACAAAAATACGTTTTTTTTTTAAATGAGCAGCCCAGACAGAAATGGCATGTCTTGGTCTTGTATGTTTGTGTACATACATACCGACATACAGACAACCACACATACAAACATGTACATATGTATATACACACATACGAAAATGTACGTACATATATACATATATATATATAAATAATACACAATACATACATTGATATGTGCACATATACATACACATTCATCCGTCCATATAAACAAACATACATGATTGCACATGCACAAATACATAGATACACATGCACACTCACATACATACATATGCACACATTCATACATACACATGCACACTTACATTCATAAATACATACATACGTACATACATACACACATACATACACACATACATACACACATACATATACACATACATACATACATACATACATACACACACACACACACACACACACACACACACACACACACACATACACACACACACACACACACCGATACACACACACACACACACACACATACATACATACATTTGCTCGCATTCATACATACCTTAATACAATACTCATACATTCCCACATTCGTTCCTACGTATAAAAATAATTTTTAAAATACATTTAAATCAAGCTATGCGTATTTGTAAGTGTATATTTGTGGTACATTTATGACTCGATCAGCATATGGTATATCTCTACTTTTGCTTCATGTGTGAAGGTGAGATCAGGGCAACAAACTACCGTGAAGAGCAGAGTTGAATTCGTTCTGCATTTGTTGTAGTTCATGAGAGATCAGTTTTAACAGCTTGCATGCAGATCCGTGAATCTGTGAAAAGAAAACAGACACAATAGAGCTTCGAGTGTGCACAGATTAGCAGTTCCCCAGCTAAAAATAATACAATTATATTCCAGCAAACTTTACTAATAAAAGTATTCTTTCTCCTTTTAGAAAAAAATGTTAATGCGTTGCGTAAGCAAAACTTGCAATACTTTGTTGCATAAATGTGGCCGTCCTCTGGCTGCAGCAACTCCATCGAGCCGAACACTCACCCATTACCCTGTTAACGATGCGCTTTACGGCCTGGACAAAGAACACCAGAAACTGCGAGAAGCTACCTTCAACTTCGCACAGAAGGAACTGGCGCCCTATGCTAAGGAAATAGACAAGGAAGACAATTTCAAGTGAGTATCGCAAAATAAATTCAAAGCAGACTCTCAAAGCAGCCTTTTCATACCACAGAGATATGCGTTCGTTTTGGAGAAAGTTAGGCGAACTGGGTTATCTGGGCATAACAGTGGATCCCGAATACGGAGGCACTGGTGGAAGCTACTTGGATCACAGCATCGTCGTGGAGGAAATTTCAAGGTATGTGAATAAATTCTTAACAAAAACAAAAGTTAGCAATATTTGTACATTACAGAGCCTCTGGAGCTGTAGGAGTTTCTTACGGCGCACATTCGAATATGTGCATCAATCAGTTGTCTATTAACGGAACTCACGAACAGAAGCAACAGTATCTGCCCAAGCTCTGCAGTGGAGTACACATCGGAGGCTTGGCCATGTCGGAGGTGGGTGCCGGCTCCGATGTCCTGGCAATGAAGTTGCGAGCAGAGCGCAAAGGCGATTACTACCTGCTAAACGGTACCAAGTTTTGGATCTCTAATGGCTCCGATGCGGATACATTAATTGTATATGCCAAGACTGGAGCAAGTGGTGATCCAGACCGCAAAGCGATAACCGCGTTTATTATAGAGACGTCGTGGGAGGGCTTCAGCGTGGGTAAAAAGCTAGATAAACTGGGAATACGTGGCAGCAGCACCTGTGAACTCGTTTTTGATAACGTGAAAGTGCCCGCAAAGAATGTGCTGGGACAGGAGAACAATGGCGTCTATGTGCTGATGTCGGGCCTAGACTATGAGCGTGCTGTATTGTCCGGAGTATCGATGGGTCTTATGCAGGCCGCCTGCGATGTGGCCTTTGAGTATGCCCATGAGCGCAAGCAAATGGGCAAACTAATTGGCGAGTTCCAGCTAATACAGGGCAAGATGGCAGATATGTACACGACGATAAGCTCGTGCCGGAGCTACTTTTACACTGTGGTGAGATCCCTTGACGCGGGAATGCGAAGCAGCAAAGATTGCGCTGGCGTTTTCTTGCTGTGCGGCGAAAAAAGCACTCAAGTGGCTTTGGATGCCATGCAAATCCTTGGCGGCAACGGCTACATTAATGACTATCCAACAGGACGAATTTTGCGTGATGCTAAACTGTGCGAGATCGCTGGCGGCACCGCTGAGATCCGACGCTGGCTCATAGGACGTCAGCTGAATCAGGAGTACAAATGAAGCGCTATAAATAGTTATCAGGGGGAAAGAGTGTTAATATTTTAGGGTATAAACATATTTGTTAATTTTGTAATTTAGATCGGTACCAAGGGCCAAAATATAGACATCTCATTGCTTATTGTAAAATTTTAGAGTGATTCTTAGATTACCTTTATATTCTTGTATGGATATTGATAAAATTGTTAACTGCGCTCATAACGTATCATATCCTTTCAAAATCTGTAATGTCATTGTCGAACTATTGTTATTTTTCTTAAAAAGGATATTCTTATAATGTATTTTTAACTAAATCGGCTATAACTTAGCCATTTCAAGGACCATCCTAATGTCCTTTGTCCAACAGATAGTCGTTATCCTCCCAATTAAAAATTTGTAAAAAATATGATGATTGTCCTTCAAAATATTGAGAAAAAAGGACATTCTTGAATAAAGAAAATTGCTTGTAACTCAGACGTATCCTTGTGGATCCTGTTGCGGTTCTCGTCAAACGAATTAAGTGGGAAAGGACTATCAACTGGCCAAAGGACATTAACATCGTCCTTGTAGTTGCCGAAATATTAAGGATCTTTTGCTTTCGGTCTGTTTGCTTACCGCATGCAAGGATTCAGAGCTTAGCCTTAAATATTATAATGTATATCGATGCAGTTGGTCCTTGCGATTCTAACGCACCAAGTCCTTTGAAAATCGGAAAGGATTTGGCTGAGTTATGGCTAATTTTCTAAAAAGGACATTCTTTGTATGGCCATAACTCGGCCAAATCCTGAAGGATATCGGAAGGATATACCTTTTTGAACTCGTGGAGAGCAGTACTATCGATTTGCATTCAAGGATTTCCAGGATTCGACAAAAAATTTTCGAAAAAAATTTTACAGGGGGTAGGTCGCAAAAGTGGCCAAAATCGAAAAAATCCGGTCTAACTTGGCCATTTTAAGGACTATCAAGATGTCCTTTGGACTGTAAATAGTCCTTGTCACCCAGATAACGAATTAGCAAAAAAAAGGACGAAAGTCCTTCAAACGGCGGAGGAAAAATGCAAAATTTTCAAACACAAAATAGCCTATAACTCGGCTATATCCTTGCGTATCCTGACGAGTCCTGTGTCAAATTAATTGTATGGACCAGGGCTATCAACTGGCCAAAGGACATCAAAATCGTCCTTGTAGTTTAGGAGATATTAAGGATTTTGTGTTTTCAGGCTGTTTTCCTTATAAACCGCGAACGAAAAATTGTCAAGTCCAGGATTCTTAGATGACCCCATAATTTTTTGATGCAGATCGATGCAGCTGGTCCTTACGATCCTAACGCACCAGGTCCTGCGAAAATCTGCAAGGATATGACCGAGTTATGGCCATTTTTCTAAAAAGGATCATATATTCTATGTATTATTAAATTGCCTATAATTTGGCCATTTCAAGGACTATCCTGATGTCCTTTGGATTACAGACAGTTGATATCCTGCCAATTTCGAATATGCCATAAAAAGGACGAAAATCCTTCAAGGAGCCTTGTTAAAAAAATAAGCCATATCTCGGTCATATCCTTACGGATCCTGACGAATCCTGTGTCAAACTAATTGTATTGACCACGGCTATTGACTGGCAAAAGGATATAGCAATCGTCCTTGTATAAAAAAAAATTAAAAATTTGGATGAGGCGCACCAAATTTCTATAAAATTCAGCTGAAGTACCAGGCGAACATAAATGCCCAGCAGGTAGACGAAAATCGCCGGTCGAAAAAATTCGTAGCATACCCTAGGGGGCATATTGAGCCGTTAAATTTAAATTTGCTTTCAAATAAATTTCGCAACCGCCAAACAGAAAAGAACGTTATTTTTTTAAAATGTTTTTTCCTTGGAATTATAGCTTTTACTCCAGTAAGCTTCAGACGTTGTAGGTTTCAAAGGACATCAAATTTTCAGTCGATTTCCTTGCGGACCGCAAATTGATAAATAAGAAAGGGTTGTAATTTTAGCTAAGTTTTAGCTATAAAGACAACTCTTTCGCGTTTATTGTTAAAATATTGTTTTTATTAATATACAAAAAATACACAATTAAAATATGCAATTACGTATACACGACAGCTCACATAGGTACTCGTATATACAAAACGAAATTACAGAGCAAGAATATCCTTTTATAGAAGAACATAGAACATTGTTTACGTACATAGATGGTTTTAAGAACTAAACGTTATGTGAACAACAAATGTGAATTGAATTAACTTAAATCGCGTTAATTATAATTCTCGAATATTAATATATTTAGTTTTTAGGTGCACGGTAAAAAATTGCATTGAATTAACATTAAATTGATTAACCCAATTTGCATTTAGTTTTTTTTTTGTTTACAGTTTTAGAATAAATTTGATTTGATTAGTACAAAGTATTAATATAGGGTTCAGTTAATGTTTCTGAATGTGTTAAAAAATTGGCAATAAATTGGCAGATAGACACGTTCAAAAGCACAACAAATATACACAAATAGATTGGATAGTTAGAAAAGAAAAATCGAAATTGAAATGAAAAGCGATTATAACGTTACATTTAGGCTGTGTGTTTCTGTGTGCGATTTGTGTATATGGGGTATTTGTGTGGCGTGTGTAAATATAGACATATTAACGCTAGTGGCTAATTATATTCTAATGTTAAATTATTACTATTAGTATGCATATAAATGTTAAAAGCACATTTGGCAAACTTCTTCGTTTAGTTTCGACTGCAGCTGCAGCTCCTGCTCCTGCTCCTATTCCTTATTCCAGTCGAAAACTGTGCTTCTCCGTCTTCGTCTCAGAGCGCGATTCTGTTGTTGTCGTAAACGATTTGCGCTCCATAACGCGCTGCGTCATTGAGGTGAGACGCTCCGAGCCCTGATCCACAATGCTCAGCTTGCCGCCATCCGTGTTGAGCGTCATCTGAGAGAAGCTCGACTCCAGGCCAGGCTTGGCCAGGCCCAGCTCACTGGTGCTTCCGCCGCTATTGTTGGCTGACTTGTCAAAGTTGCGGGTCTCGTATCTGCTAAGGAGCGGGCAAGGGATTAGCGTTTGGACTGGCAATGTCTAAATAATTCTCACTCACCTGGACGTGTAGCCCTCGTAATTCTGGCCGGGATAGGCATTGCCGCCGGTCAGCTGCACCACACCGCCCTGCCCGAACGTCTTGTCATGCAGATCCTGGACACAGGCCTCCAGATTGCGATTCACCGTAGGCTTCTGTGGCGGCGGTGGCGGCACAACGGGCGCGGACGTTGAGGAGTTCTGTGTTTTAAGGCTGGACGTTTCAAAGCTATGCTGCTGGTAGTTGGCGTTAGTGGGTGTGCCCGATGCAGATGTGGTGGTTGTAAAGCCGTTGCTACCCGCCGCACCAGCCACTGGACTGCCAGGGTATGGGCGCGGCACAGCATTGGCGGTTAGTTTGGGATTAGAGCGAAAACTATGGCCCGACGTGGCCGTCTGCATATTAGAAATGGTTGTCGACAACGGCGGCGGTGGCGGCGGAAAATCTCCATTGACATCATCCATGGCCGCATAATTTGATGGCGGCGGCGAAACTGCGCCCGGATGATGAAAATGCTGTGGCTGCGGACTGGCATAGTTATAATGATGCTTCTGCTGACTGCCGGCGGCCAAGTCAGAGCCAGCGTAGTAGTTGGACGGGCTGGACATATCACCCGAGCTACAATAAGCGCCTCCACGACCCAGAGTCTGTTAAAGGTTAGCAAGAGACAAAGATTGGGTTGGTTAGACAGATTAGGGTTAGAGCAGTTACAGCTACAGCTACTAGTAAATTGATACCGACACCAGGTGAGAATTTCGTCAGTTAAATCAATGCCAATTCGTTGGTGCACAATCTAAACTTAAACTAAGAGATAAAGGATAACCTGTTCATACATTGTTCTGGCTCCTGTTGAGCGTGCCGTAGGCATACTCCGTGTCGCTCTCGTCAGTGGTGAAGCCTTGTGTGTTCTTGGCATAACGCTGCGCCTGTCGCACATGCTTGAGACGCTGGCGCGCCTCCTCCAGCTCCTTCTCCTTGCGCAGCACAGCGGAGCGTGCATTGATTTCCTGCGCCATGCCGTCCACCATGGATGTGTTGATCTTCAGCGAATGCTCCTCCTCCGCCTCGAGGCCTTGTTGAGCGGCATGCACCAGATTGTCGGTGGACTTGATGACTGCATTGCCAGCGGCCTGCAGGCGACGTCCCGCCTCCGAGTTGGGATTCGATTTGACCTTGCAGGCAATCAGCAATTGCGCTGTGGAGGCAGCCACCTGTTTGGCCGTCGAGATGAGCATCTCCTCGGTGCCGACGCCGCGCACCAAATTCTGTGCGGCCTCTACCAAGCTGTGTGTGGCTGCAGCCACCAGGCGGGCGGCTGAAATCAGACCCTCCGACCACTGGCCATCATCGGAGCTGGTCAACGGACGCCGTGCCACCTTGCCCTGATCAATGAGCTCACGCTGAGCGGCATTGGCAGCACGCACCAAGGCAGCAGAGGCGGCCATAATGCCCTTGGCTGCCTCCAGGATCATCTCATCGAATTTCATGTTCTCATCCAGCTCGATCTGTGAATGGAAAGCAATGCGATGATTAGATAAATGAAAGCCATTTCGAGCTCAATTAAGATTAGATTAGATTAAGAGTAGCAAACACCATTTAAGTTAAGTTGCGTTATTCGATTTGGTTTTGGTTTTGATTTTGGTTTTGGTTTTGGTTGGTTTAGTAGAGTTTCAACAATCACAGTAATAATATGTTTGATTCCTGGGTGAACTTTTGAATGTAACAACCAAGAATATCAAACATATCTTACTGGAATCATTAGATGAGTGGGGGGTAGTTTGATTTGGTTTAAGACGAGCCTTTCGAGATGAGTTAAACTGATGAGCAGTTGAGTTAGTTTCAATTCACCATTCACAAACACCATTAAGAACTAGTAGCTAGGTACTCCGAATCCCAGCTCAGCTCACCTTGACATCCGCCTGGCGACGTGGTCGCAGCGAGGCCAGCTTCTTGGCAGCCGCATCGATGGAGGCCGCAGCGCCAAGCAGCTCGTTTTCGGCTATGACCGTGGGATCTTCCGGATCTATCCAGTCGGAGCCCTTCAGCAGGCGCGCCATGGCAACCAGATCTGTGACGCACTTGGCCACGCGTCGCGAGTAGTGCATGCGATCATCGGCGCTGCAATTGTGCAAAATGCCATTGAGCAGCTCTCTGTAGGATTCGGCGACAGCGGTGCCCGCCTCCAGTGTGCGCACACGTAGCTCATCCGTCTCGGCACAGTTCCAGGCAACGGAACGGCAAACGATCAGCATGTCCGAGATGGCGCGACGACCCAAATTGGCCGCAGCAACAATGTCCGCCTGCAGATTGGAGGTGCCGGCGGCGACAGCCTTTGCTGTGGCAGCTGTTACATTCATGGTGACGCGTATCAAATCCTCGGGTCCCATCTGAGCACTGCCCACAGGCGGCGGCGTCTGCATGGCCTGCAAATAAAACACAGAATAAATGCGAGCTCTAGAGGGAAGTTCCTTTTATGTGCTACTCACGCGTATCTCCTGTGAAATGGCCTCGACAGTGGCCTCCATGGCGCGTGTGCCGCGCGTGTGCTCATCCTCCACAGCTTTGACGGTCTTCAGCAGCGAGGAGACATTCAGCACCATGACCTAAACGCAATAACAAAGTGTTTTTGGTGTTGTTGGACAGAAATGTTTGGGATTAATCTTTAGTTTTATAGTGGGTACAGATCATGATAAAGTAGAAATAACTTAAATGTAAACTCTAGACACTACAAACTACAAATTAGGTTCTACGTCTACTTTTAGATGGCTTTGGCACTCTGCATATTAAACTATATTCCAAGAAATGTAATTGAAATGAACAACATGACTTTACGAGCAATTCAAATTTTATTCGAGAACTAAGACAAATAATGATTATAATCCTTCTAAACAACATTCATATTCAGGGACTATAACAATCGACAAAAGGGGAACAACTTGCAGATGCTATGGAGAGCAACAAATATGGGCACAAGTCTTGGCAAAAATCTCTGGCCGATCTGTCACATGGAAAGCCACAGCTTTCTTTAGGGATGCAGTTGCATAATATAAAAGGATTTTGAATATACGAAACTTTGTTTTTCAATTTTTCACCGTTTCAGTAAATCCACCGCCAAGCGTGGAAATGTAGTTTCAAGATGGTTAGCTCGATAGTTAAATTTCAGCCCGAGCGATCATATAGATGGATTGGATTTGGATTTCATGCGATTCGTTCTCGAGCTTCGATGGCCAGTCAGAAAAGGGTGAATTTGAATTTTAAGTTTTATCTAGCTACACATATATACCGTTATATATATGCACTCTCCAGGTGTACTCTCCCATAGCATCCACAAATTTTACAAAGTTTTCATAGCGACAAATATGTTTGGAATAATATTGTTTGTTTGTTTTTTCTTGTTTTGTGCAATGATTAATGTTTATGTTTACGAAAGAATTTCGTCAATTTCGTTTCCAAATTGTTGTCGGATGCACGCCCCCTCCCCCCCCTGAAATGGCTCATGATTCCATTGCCGATTGCTGCTGCTGCCGCTGCCGCTGCTGCTGCTGCTGCTGCTGCTGCTGCGGGGGGCGTGTGTGTGTGTTAGTTTCTGAATGGGCGCTGGCAGCCGATTGGCAAACATCTTGAAGCGTCTGCATTGTTGTTTGTTTTCGAAATATGGTTGGTATCGATATCGAATTCGATTTTGATTTTGATGCATGTTCGAATCGATAGGTTGCGTATATATATATATATGCGTATACATATATTCCACAGCGAGCGCAGCGCATGAAGAGAGCGTGGAGAGCGATTTTTGAGTACGATTTGCGTATTTGTACAGTTCATGAGAGTTTGTTGTTGTTGTTTTTTGTTTTATGTATATGTATGTTTGTGTGTGTGTGTATGGGAAGAGAGAGAAGAGCAGAGACGTCGAACGCGCACAAATTAGCAAAAGAACGAAAACGAAAATATACAAAAATTTATGGATTTCTTTTTTTTTCATTGTTTGCTTTTTACAAATGTGTGTTTATGTGGGAGGGTGGTTCTGTGAGTAGTTTGAGTGGGTGGTGGTGGATCGACAAAGAGAGTGGGAGAACAAGAGCAAGAGAGCGAGAGAAAGAGAGCGCAGCAAATGCATGCGGAGCAGCGGGCAGAAGGGCGGTTGGTTGGGTGGTTGACCAAACAGTTAGAGCTGACAACGGCGGGATGAGAAAATGGTGTTTGGTGATTCAATAGCCAGAGATATTGTTGTTGGGGGCTGTTTATACACTTATGTGTGAGAGTATGTGTGTGTGTGTGTGTGGTAGTTTGTGGGATTAAACATTGAAATTGATTAATAAACATTTAAGATAAAAACGTTAAGCGCCAGCAGCAGCAGCAGAAGAGCAGCAGCAGCAGAAGAGCAGCAGGTGAGTTTGAGATTGAGCTGGAGGTGAGACGAGTAGCCCTCGCTTGGGCTCGTTTGGTGCAGGAAACAGCAGCGACAGCAACAGCAAGGTGATATTAAATATTCTATATTTTTTTTAGGGGTTTACTTATAAGTACATTTTTTTGCTGATGGTATATGTGTAAGTGCCAAAGCCAGTTTATGTTTAGAAATTATTTACTCGTAAACAGTAGTCGCTCGCTAAGTAGAACGATTTAGAAATATAAGAGAATTATACGAAAAAAAAACTAAATAATTTATAATTGCAAGTATCTTCAGTTAGCAAATCTACAAAATGATTATAAATTCTGGTTCTAATTCCCGAGCGAGCACTGTAGTTGAAATGCCACAAACAACATTTATGTATGCGTATATGTCTGTGTGTATACGTGAGGGTTCTAAAATAGATAGCTTTCAAATAGTCAATACACACAAGAATACTCGAACTGTTCGACTAGGGTTAGGCAAAACTTAAACCAATTGGGAATTACAAGCTCTGAGCAATTAAATATTTATACTCTTGTATGTTTTATACTCTGTTTTACTTTTGTAAGAGAGGGGGATCTGCTCTCTTCTTCTAGTTTATTATACGATTTGCTTCACGACCTCTTCTTTTATTCCAATTTAATTCTTCGTACTATTAAATAGTTCCCTAAAATCATGTTGCGTACGTTTGTCGCTCAAATCTATTCTCAAAAAGTCCCAAAAAATAGTTACCATAACCACATTAAAGTCAGTTACAGTCACAAAATTACCAGGTATTAAAAAAAAACTGTAAATATTACACACTAATAAAAAAAGCCACAACAACAAAAGCTTTACAGCATAGATAGAGAGAGTATTAAAAAACTAGAGAGATGAAGAGACGTAGGGAAAAATATATGTAGAGAAAAGGACTTGAACATACCCTGGCGCTCTCCTTGAGACCCTGCATAGAGGGATCGTGTATGGGCTTGCCCGAGGCCAATTTGGTGCAGTTGATCAAATCACCGAGAGCCGACGCCACATCCTTGACAGCATTAATGACCATAACCTGCGAGTCGGGCTGCGAGGAGCCCAAGGAGCAGGCGCCGCGCTTAACAGCCTCCGCAAGTTGAGCTGCAGGCAAAAAAAAAAAAAACGTGAAAATTGAGCATGGAATGAGAGAATCTGATGACTCACTAATGGTTGAGACGGCATTCTGTGCCGCATTGGCCAGCTGATCTTGTGTGCCGGCGGCGCCCGTGACCAGCACCTTAGTGTCCTCCACCAGAGCCTTGGCTGTCTGTAGAATGTGCTCTCGATGATCGGCAAAGCTGCCATCGCCATCCGAGTGCAGTGTGCCCGCTGTGGCAAACATAATGGTCGTATCCAGATCTCCGATGATGCCGGATACGGTGTGGGCAGCATTGATGCAGGCCTGGGTGCCGCGAGAGCCAGCTTGCAGAGCGGCCAGCACCTGGGCCACCTTCTCGGATACCTCGCGAGCATTGTTCGATATCTGCTTGAGGGCGCTGGCATCATGTGGACTGGCGCCTCCGGCAGAGGACTGTATCATGGAGCTGACCGAACGACCCAAATCGATGACTGTGTTGCGTATGCGCATGGCCACATCCGGCGAGGTGGTGGTCGTGCTGGCGCCCACCGAGTCCTGGGTGAGCAGTTGGTAGTGCTGGGTCATTTCGACGGCCAGCTGGGGCAGAGCTGCGGGCTCCACGCTGCTCTTGGCGTTCATCTCGTTGCCCAGACGAGCAATTTCCTTGGCCGTGGCCACCATGCGCGTCTGGTAGTCCACAAAGGTGTCCGAGTAGGAGGCATTCAGCAGCGATTGTCGCTTGTCCGTGAGTCGCGTTATGGCGCGATTCACCTGCTCCATGAGGCCGGTGACAATGCCCGTTTCGGCATTGATCTTCTCCACAGCTTGCTGCAGCTCCTGTATGGCCTCCCGGGTGCCATCGATAGCCTCGTCGAGACGCGGATGGGCGTGTGTGGCACGTGGATTACCCGCCGAGTCCTTGGCCGATTGCACCAGGGTAATGGCGCTCTCGACCACCGACTTGGTCTGATTGATCAGCGACATTTGCTGCTGGCTGTGCACGATGTGGGTGCAGGCGCCAATGGCGCCATTTACCATGGGCACCACATAGCGCGAGATCTCACCCACGGCATGGCCCAGCTGCTCGGCATTGTTCTTGCCCGCTACGCGTATGGGCTCCAATTTGTCCAACAGCTCCGCGGCAGAGTTCATCGTTTGGCCACTGAAGCCATGCAGATTGTTGTCCCGACGACGACTCAGGCCCTGGGCATTGGCTGCCAGGGCGCAGCTGTCCAGCTCGCGGGTGCAGGTGCCCAGGGTGTGCAGCACCTGCTCACATTGGGCCTGCCCGGGCGCCTTGTCGCGTATGTTGTCCACGAGACGCTTGACGGACTCGGAGACGGGCGTAGAGTGCATGGAGAGCTGTTGCCACACGGGCGGATTGTCCGGGGACAAGGCCAGCGATTTGGCCGCCTTGACCATCTCGACGACGCCATCGATAACACCGCGTCCAGCCTGAATGACTGGCTCCTGCGCTTTGCGACCCTCGGCCGAGATTTTGGCCGGAATCGATATAAACTCTGGACTAGAGGCATATTGACGAACTGCCTTGACAGCATCCAGCAGCGGCTCCACAAGTCGATCCCGACTGCCGCTCGTGGGATTTTCCTCAATTGCTTTGATGTCCTGCACAAGATCCGATGTCGCGGTGGCCACCCGCTTGGCCAGCACAATAAACTCATTCTTGGCCACCGGATTGTTGGTGTTCATGCTCGCCTGCCGGCAAATGGAACACAGATAGCTCGTGTGCTTGGCAATCACGGTCAGGGCCGAGATCATCTGCGGCTTGCCCGACTGGGCGCTGCTCACAATGTCGCAATGCTGTCGAATGCCCTGATAGGCCCAGGTCAGCTGCGCCTGGTCAATGATGCCGGGCCGCCCGGCCACACTGCTGGGATGCGAGACGCCAATGAGATAGGCCGCCTGCGAGGAGCTCTCCATCAGACCTTGTATGGAGTCGTTGACATTGTTCACCGACTGACTGAACTCCACGTGCTGTGACTGTTTGGCATTGTTGATCATCTCGGAGATGGCATAGCCCAGGTTGCGCGACTTGGCAGTCGCCTGTTCGACGCAGTCAAAGTAGCCCATCTCGTTGATCGGCTCGTGCGGATAGTCGAGCATCAGACGCAGTGCCTCAATGTTGCGCATGGCATTGTCGCACTCCTTTTGGCCCGGCGCCGACTGGATGCTTGCATCCACCAGCTGATTGATGCTCTCCGTAACGCTGCGGGCGGCAGCATGCAGCAGATTTTTGGCATTCGGCTGGCCAGGATCGGCGGCAATGGACTTGGCCGTGGAGAGCAGCGAACACGACTGTGTCGACACATTGCGCAGGCAGTCGATCATCTGCGAGCGCACGGGCTCATCCGTTTGGGTCTGCCCCGCCATCTGCATGCTCACCGACAACAGATCCCTGTAGTTGGCCGCAAAGTTCTGGCTGCTGTCGGCCAGCAGGGCAGGGCTGGCATACGATTGGACAATCTGGCCGCCGGCGCTGCTCAGCTGCTCGGCCACCTGCTTCAGCTCTGACTGCAGCTCGGCATAGGGTCGGTTCGAGGGCGGGAATTCGCTCACGGACAGAATCTCGCTGAGCTCACTGACATTGCGCAGCGCGGCGTCCACCTCACGCTGGCCGGGTATGCAGTCGACGGTGCGCGAGAGGGCACCTGTCACATCTCGGCCCGCTTGGGTCAGCGCCTGCGGATCGGAGATGCCCTGCAGCGTGCGCTGCGCCTGCTCAATCAGCTGTGCGGAGCTGGTGACAACGTCGTCGGCGCACTCAATGATAGCCGGATTCTGTGTGGTCGCCGCAACGCCATGCACGCTCTTGGTGAAGTCGCCCAGGGCCAGAGCCGTGTCTCGTCCGGCGGCGCCTGCATAGCTGCGTTGTCCCTGTAGCACAGAGCTGAGCAACTGGCTCAGAGCAATGCCCACATTCTTGGCCGATTTGCGCAACTCGTCGGCGGTGTTCTCCACCGTCTCGCCGGGCAGTGGTCGCAGTTGACCCGCCAGGGCTGCCTGGCGTGTATCGTCCAGCACATGATGCAGCTTGCGCACCGCCTCCAATGCCGACTCCAGCTCCTGACCACCGCAGGCATCGCGTGCACGCTGCGCCACCGAATGTAGCTCTGAAACCGTCTGGCCCAGATGCAATGCACTCTTGGACAGCTGCGCAGCAGAGGGTATATCTGTGACCGTGGGTCGCAGGGCACGTGAGGATTTGGATACTTGAAGAGCGGGCTCGATGAATTGTTCCGCCGCCTCGATAAGATTCAACTGGGCGTGCGCATCGTCTGGCTGGGCGCGCGTCGTCTTCAGCGATGTGACCAGTCGTGGTATGGTGTCTGCGACGCGTTTGCAATCCTGCAGCAACGACTCCTTGGTCTGATGATCCTGGCTGTGCTGCACCGCATTCTGAGCGGCCGAGATGCACTGGGTGGCCGCAGACGCAGCCAGCTTCGAGTGGAACTCGAGCCGCTGGATGAGACCACGTTTCATGGCCGGCGTATTGGCGGTGCTGGTGGTGATCTCGCGCAGCTCCTCGGCAGCACGACGCAGCGCATTCTGATTGTCCGAATCATGAGGATTGGAGGAGCACAGGCGTGCCGCCTCCACCAGCTTGGCGGTGGCATCGGCCAGCTGCTTGGCGGCCGACAGCAGACGGCGCTGCATGTCCGCATCCTCCTGCTGATCGGCCTCGCCCTTGATGCTCTGGATGAGCTGTGCTGTCGTCTGGCCGAGGGTGCGCGCATGACGCACCATTTCCTGGGGATCATTGGTGGACACCAAAACGTCGGTGCCAATGATGACATTCTCGACGGGACTCAGCTCCTGACTGGTGCGATTCGCATGCTCGCGAGTGCTTAGCTTCACATGCTCCAGCATTTCCGTGAGACTCTTGGAGACATCGCGTGCCGCGTCCAGCAGATCGGCTTTCAACTTGGGATCGTTGCTCGCCTCGTTGCACACCTCGCAGAGCGAGTTGACCGCACGGGCCACGTTTCTGGCCGCCGCCTCCAGCTGCTCCCGACAGGCAGCATTGTGCAGGGTGGGAGCCACCACCTTGGCGCAGGCCACCAGCTGACTGGTGGCCAGTGCACACTGGCTGGCTGCCCCAATGACGCGATTGCGCGCCTGATCGTCCTCACAGCTAGCGGCGATGTTCTTGGCACGCAGCACCAGGGCGGCGGTGGTATTGGCCACTGCCTTGGCCAGGGCCAGCAGCATGTCGTGCAGATCGCGATTCTCTGGCGCCTCCTCCTCGGCAATGGTGCTGAGCACATGGGTGGTGGCTTCGCCCACACGGCTGGCGGCATTAATCAAATGCTGCGGTGGCTCCTTGCTTTCTGGCTCGGCGGCCTTGAGCAGATCACTGAAGGCATTGCACAGATTGCGCGCTGCCTCCAGCAGCTGGTCGCCATTCGAATCGTTCTCCATGAGAGCGGCAATCAGGCGCACCTCCTTGGTGACCTCGGGTATGGTCTGGGCAATTTGGGATACAGATGCAGAAATGGCTTCCGTATCGACCTCATCCGGTTGCGAGGCGGTGATAATCTGCGCGGTGGCCGCGCTCATCGTGGCCACATGCGAGCTGACCGCCTGCTTGGAGGTGTCCAGGGTATTCTCGCGCCACTCAATGGAACGCAGATCGCTGCCCAGCTCCTGAATGGGTGCCTGCACAGAGTCGAAAGTTGATTAGTTGTAAATTCTAAAGGCTGTTGGCCTGCTGCTGACTCACCTTGGTGCGCAGCTCCTCGTCGGCGCGTATTAAGACATCCTGTCCAGCGGATATATAACCGAGCAGCGCACGCTGCGGCTCCGTCAGATTCACAGAACTAATGCGTACTTCCTTAGTCTAATAAGGAAATCATAATCGAGATTAATAGGGATTATCAGTATAAATTCTATTAGCTTTATGGGCGGCACATACTTTATGAAACTTTTCATGACCGTTTTCTAAATGTTTCAGGAATTAGCGCAGCATGTTAAGAGATGAAAGAATTTCTTCAAGTTAGTTCAGTTAAGATGTGACAAAGTGGGGTTATGTTCTGATTTAAGAGGTGCAATGGCAACTTAGACATAATGGCAGGAAATGAAATTTACGAGTGCTGCAGTTAGAATCGAATGTCTCTCTGGGTTGCATGTGGAACTTACCGTCGGCGGTTGATGAGCATGATTTACTTGACCCACAAAGGCGCCATACTGCACGCTCTGCATTTCGTTCTGCGTAAAGGTGCGTTCACCTGTCAGTCATATCGAGCGAGCGAGGGACACAGAGAGAGAGGTGTACAAAAGAAATAAATCATAAATTATTAGAAGCACAACAAAAAAACTTAAGCAAAAGCAATGCTAGCAAAAACTACAGTAGCTAGAATTTATATTTTAGATTTTTAACAAAATATTTTGTTAGTCTTGGACTTAAATTATTATTTTCTGTTTTGTATTTTAATATATTATTTTGCTGGTCTCTTGTTGAAGCGTACTTTACAGTAAAAAGCTGAAGCTTAAGTGCAAATTTTTTAAGTTTATATTAAATAGAAACCGAGAGACTTACCGTCATAGGGCCGCATAACGCCCGGATGCGCTAAACTTTCCAAGTTCAACTTCTCCACGCGATTCGTTTCGTGCTGCAAGAAGGTTGCCCTGAACACAGACAGACAAATTTATACAATAATATATTAAAGACCACTTTTTCAGCGACAGAACTCACTTGGATGGTGCAACGGACTCCTCCACCATGGTGGATCCCTCATCTCCTTCGATGCCAAAGTGATCCTTGGTCTGTTTCTTCTTCAATATTATATCGATATAGCCCGCTATGAGCTGCACGATCTGCTCGGCTTCTGTCGTCTGCACCGAATAGTATTGATTCGCATAGTCGCCAAAGTCCAGGGTGAAGGTGTTCGGCGAAGCGCCCCAGCGACGAACTGTGGTCAGCGGCCAGGAGATTAGAATCTCCTTGGTGCGCTCATCCAGACGCAGCACAGAGTCTTTGGTAACGCCCAAGAGACGCGGCACAAGCTTGTTCTTGCCATTCATCTTCTCCTTGACCAGGAAGAAGGTAACGCCATAGGTGGGCAGCTCCCGAGCGGTCTTGGTGTACAGAACTTTGGCATCGATTTCCGTCAATTCGAAATGCTTTCTATGCTCCGCAAAGATTTTCTTCTCAATGTTCTTAACACGCACATATGACTGTGGCAAAAAGTCCTTCAAGCTGGGTAAAGAGAAGAGGCAGCAGGGAGTTAAAAAGTGCATCGTTTTGGCAAAGGGTTCTCGACTTACTCCAAGAATCCGGGCTTGTGCTTGGCCTCGTTGTGCGGACCGAATTGTATGTGCACTTGGATGCCGGCGAATTCGCAGGCTGAAAGAAAAATCAGGAAAAATGTATAAAGTAAGAGATAAACTATGAATTGTATTAAACACTCACCCTTGTCCTGGGTAACAGGATGTGTGCCATCGAGAATGGCGTCCCTGGCCTGCACGTAAAGCAAATTCAGCTGCACCGGATCACGCGAGTCAATGTTCTGATCCGAGAAGAAGAAGCGACGCCGCAGCAGCACCGTCTCCGATTCATCGATGCCCTGTTCGCGTAGTGTGCGACCCACATCGACCCAGTTCACTGAAAGAAACGAAGTAGTACATCAGTTAGTTAAGCTGCCAAACGATAGATGGCGCCCACACCCACTCACTTTCGTCATCAGTTTTGAGTTTCTTGCGCAAACTTTCCATTTTCGCATCGCGATCCTTCTCGGTGAACTTGCGCTTGAGCGTGAGCGTGCCAAATTTGTTGTCCGGCAAGTTCTCGTTCTGCGCCTCGTTATCCTCACGCACCAGGCCATATTCCTCGTGATTGGTAATGCCAATTTTGGTGCAAATAACCACCATCAGCTGGGATACGGGCTGCGAGTCATCGACCAGGATGGTCTTGACAGCGCCATCCAACATGCGAACGCGCAATGTCCGAAGCTTGCGACGATATTCGAGCGTATCCTGATTATGCAGTATATAATAGCCCAGTGTGCGGCCAGCTTCTAGCCAAACGCCCTGCTGGTTCTGCTCATCCGAAATGAAGAGTCCATATTCGCTAGCTGGAATATCGTTAGGGGACAGAAGCTATAGAGAAACTGGATCTGGATGTAACTGGGCATTACTCACGTTGTCCCTGCACCGCTTCGGCAAATTTATCGCGTATGATTTTGCATGCATCGAAGACTGTCGTATTTGGTTGGAATTGTATGGTCTTGGTCACCCGACCACCCTCCAGCTGTATGCGCAGCGACAGTGTGGACATCTTTGCGTCGTCTACGTGCACGTCCGCCTCCTAGTCTTAATCGTTTGCTTAAACTTAGTGTATTAGGTGTACAAATTGTAAAAGGCACTGTAGAGGAAAAAATGAAAGAAACCGTCGAGAACAGGCGTTATAAACATGAAGTAAATGGCCCGTTCAAGTGTTATAAATAGCGCACTGAGCGAAACTGAAACTGAAATACAAAACCTAAACCAGAAACCAAAACCACCCCCAAAGCAGCAAAGATAACCGGGCCCAGGCAGCGCCGGGCCGGGCCGGGACGGGACAGGCCCAGGCCTATGCCGGGGGCAGCCACCACCCAAAAAACCAGACAAAGTCGCTGCGCTGCTGATGAAAATCTTCTATACACACACACAAGCGCACACACACACTCACACACACACACACAGTCGCACACTGGGCACTTCAGTGTTCAAATCAAAGCCTGGCCATTGTAGCTTGGGGTGACTTGCTGCACAACCCGCCGCCCCGCTGCCCTCGCTGCTGCCCCCAGACTTGTGCTTGTCATTATGCCAAAGGCAGCGACGCCGACTGCGACGCTGACAGCGACGTCGTTTGTTGTGGCTGCTGCTGCTGCTGCGCCATTTTATGCGACATTAATGCCTGGATTTTTAGCTAAATTCACTTAATGCTCCACTGGCTAACGGTATACCCATCCCAACGCCCACGCCCACAGCCCGCTTCTAATTGATTTTCTATCCTGCCGCTCTGTCCGTTGACGTGGCCAGGCAATGTGTGTCAGTCAGTGGCCGGAACACGATACCGTTCTTTATTTTTTTTTTTTTTGTGCTTATGTAAAAATCGATAATTTTCACAGCTTATGTTTTGGTTGTCGCATCCCCCGCCTGACACGAAGACATGCGGAAGCACTTGAAATTTCCGGTAAAAACTGTCGACCACAAGCCCAGAAGGGGCCAGGCACACACACACACACACACACAAGCACACGCACAGTATATACACACACGGCAAACAGTTAAAAATTTACTTTTTGCCAGTTCGCAGAACGCCGACTGCTCCATATGGCGGCTTGATTGGCAGCGGCTGGCTGGCTGGCTGTCTGTCGACTTGGCTTGGTTTTATGGAGCACTGTTTAAGGATGCACGTCTGCTGGCCACGAAATCTGGCACGTAACTGAAAAAGGTTACCTCAAAATTGGACCAGCCAAGGGGATGCTGCGACGCTGACGTCGCTGCCAACGTTGCCAGTTGCCATAAGCAGTGCTGCTGTCTGTTTAACCGTTTGTTGGGGTGAGCGAGAAACAGAGAGCGAGAGCGCGCCGCCTGCGCATTGCTGACCAAAGTTTATTCAAAGGGTGCAGCCAGGCAACTGAATCAACCCCAAGAGCGCGTGTAGAGTTCTCTCTCGCTCTCGCTCACAGCCACTCTAACTCTCCAGTTGTAGACTTTACACGCCCGGCAACGGCGACTGCCCGACCGAGTGGCGCCAGCCGGCAAAGTGCCAGCGTTTTGCGCAGCTTAAGCTGCGCAGCAGCAGAGGGCAGCGAACTGGAAGCCACAGGGGCGTAATCTGATCAAAGTGAAAAATGCGCTGCGAGGGAGCGAGCGCAGTGTTTATTGAAGGATACATTAAATATTTTGCTCTGTGGTTAGAGATATAAAATGCTAATATGGGAGTTACGCATGGGAAAGTTGGCAAAAGTCTAAATAAATAATCTAACTTTGTGAATTTTGGTAAAGAACTTGGAAAAAGTTATGAGTACATAAATATAATATAAAACATATATCTCCCTTTTTGGTAAGGAACAATAGAAATCTTTAGAGTTTAGGGAATTACGATGGGAACAGACAGCAAAAGACATATAATGCAAATATGCAGATAATTCTTAAAATACAGTTACTAACGGGACTTTTAAGAAAAAAAATGTATAACATTGTGGATTTGGAATATGGAAGTTACGAATAGTTGAAACTTGCACAATAAGAGATAACTGTAGTACTTCTGAAAATGTTAAAAGTAAATAAAATTCTTTCGTTTTAGTTTCTCTCTAGTTAAGATACATAAAATATAAACATTTTCCTGCTATATTTATGAGCATATTTTCACTTGTTAGCTTTTCTAGAGGAAGTACTATTGCTTGTAATACAATACCCTCCATTAATTCAATTAACTGTACCGCATGCAGACTCCCCCAAAACATAACCTCAAAATAAACACACACACACAGACACACAGAAACTGGAGAAAACTAACAATGTGACATAAAAAGGAAAAAGGGACAGAATGTTGAATAGGGATGTGACAGGACAAGCAGATGGATTTCATAGAGCTAAAAGACAAACAATTTCAATGAATGGAGAAACTGGGCGACAACTATGTATGCACATATCTCATTATAGATATATATATATATATATTTATGGCTGATTTCGGGCTGTTGCGGGGGCAGCAGAGGTCTAGCATTACAGCTGACTAAGGTTTCAATTGCGGCTATCAAAGAGTAGTTTTTATAGAGGCTAATGAAATACAAGCGAAGCAAAGCAGCAGATTTTCCGGTGAATGCAAATCGAGCAGCGTATCCAGCTTTAACTGACTTTAGCTTATGGCCTGGCCGGCATGAGTTCGCACTAATTGGCAACCACTTTTCGCTGGGAAGTCACACTGTGCGGCTAATGGATGTAATTTACTGCCATCCAAGTTTTCTATGGCTCTGACTAATTAATTGGCTCTGGCACTGTGCTGAAGCTGAGTGAATGCACTTTCAATGTATTTATTGGCATTCACAAAAAGCTGTCGCTGCTTATTTTGTGGCTTTTCCAATTGGCAAAAGTATGGAAACCCAATTAATGGCCTATGATTATATGAAATTCTTTTATAGGGCTATTTCACTGATGAATTTGGTTTTAATTATGATTAAACTTCGATTTATATGTGGATTTAATTATGATTAAATTTCCGTTTTACATCCTTATTAAATGGAGCATAAAATTATATGGAATTTAATCTGAGATCGAGGATAAAATGAAAAATAATTATTATTACAACTAGTTAAATTCATATTTCACATAATAAGAATTTTCCACAATTTAAACCAAAATTCATAAATCTTTGCATCTATTACCAATCGAGACGCTGATTTGAACCAGTGACTTCACAAATCACGGATCAAGGAGACTTTTTTAAAAGTTCGACAAATCTATATCTAGCGTCTTCTAAAATTAAGTATATAAATGTTCAGAATGTTATCGAAAACAAAGCAAGATAAATATTTTATAAATTGTTTCAAGTTAGGAAACTTTTTACTTACTCTTCGTGCACATTTTTAGGCTCTTCAAGGAATTGTGTTTAAAATTACGTAATGTTTTTTAATAATTATTTTGCGCTTTTCGGTTATTTTGAGAAGTTTTTCAAAAGGCACATGGCTTGTGATAGCTAATGCTTATGCTTATAAAGGCACACTCGGGGCTCGTGTGTTGTGTTTAGTGTGTGTTGTCTTTTTTTTTATTATATTTTTTTTTTTGTTAAATGTAATTGGTTTTTATTTTTTGTTTGGTGTGGACTTGGGCACGGGGTGGTGAAGGGATTTTAAAAATCGTTGACTACGGACGGCAGCGCACGACGATCGGAGGAAGGCCAAACGCGATCAAATAACCGACTGACTCCCCTTTTTGTTGGCGACTGCTCGCCGAGCTGAGGCACGTTTGTGGTGGTGTTGAAACGGCGGCACGGAGACGCGTCCAGCACGTTTTTGTACAAGAAATTGTACGGAACCGAAATGGCAAAAAACACAAACTAAGGACTAACAAGTTACTCGAGTGCAGCAGAGGCAAAGAGAACTTTCTCTGTCTCTTTTCCAAAAAATTGACTCTCTGTTAAAAAAAGTAGCTACAAAACGCGACTACTCCGAATATATATATATTTTTTTTCAAATATAACAAATAACTTTCTTAAAATGTGCATCTAATGGCTAAAAACGGTATATTGTATATACGGTATATATATATATATAGTTTTATATGTTTAAAAACGTGTAGAGTTTCGTAATAAATTTCTAACTTTCATCTAAGGCAAATTAGTGGCAGAGTTAGATTCTGAGCCTAGGGCCGAAATATCTAAGCGTTACTTAGAGCTACAAAAGTTGCATTTAAAATTTAAAGTTTCTCGTTTAAGGCACACGACGACAAATGCAGCAAACAAAAGACGCGAACGTGTTAATAATAATAATTATTATTAATTTTTTTTTTTTTTTTTTTGTAATATTTAATAAGGCACTTTTGACGAACTACTCAAATGAAAGGCACGCGCAGGCAACAATAACGAAACTTAACAACTTTTAGCTTTTATCTTTTTTTTTAATAGTTAACACAAGGCACAAAACGGTGTCTAAAGAAACGCGTGACAACTGTTTGAGGAAACACTTGAACTTGAACTGTGGCTGGTCCAGCTTCAGCTCCAGCTGCTCCTGCTGCTGGCTTGATGATGTCAGCGCTGGCGTGTCCTGCCCGATCGGAGGCTAGGCCTAGAATGATGTGCTACGCCGGCGACACATCGTGCGCTTCTGACGCAAACATCATTCATGCCACAAGTCGTAAGCAACATGAGAATCCAACTGGCGACATTCTGTCGACTCAAAGGATGCTGCGGCGCGCATGCTCCAAGCGGCGACTGAAACCGAATCATCAGCAAATCCTGCACGTGCAAGAGGGATGGGAGCAGCAGCAGCAGCAGTCGCAGCAGCAGTCGCAGCCGCAGCACAGATCAACCGCTGGGGGCAGGGGTTGTGGTGTGTGGCATGCCACTTTGCCTTTTTATATATGCACATATATACACTTTTTTTTTTGGGCACAACAACAAAAACAACCACCAACTGTGACGGCCAATGGGTGGGCCAGGACCACCAATGGCTGCGACGCAGCCAGGCTTCGTCTCGCTGCCTATGTACAACAACCCAAAAGGAGGGGGGAGGCTGAGCAATTGTTGTTCTTGTTCTTGTTTGTTCAGCTAAGTTGTATAAATGGAGCGAGTGACTATTTTTTTCCCTATATATATTATGCGCTTCTTTGGTAACTTTTGCTGCCGTCTTGATGTTTTAATTAGCCAAAAGGCGGCATTGATTAATTATAGCAGCTGCGGCAAGATTACGCATACGCCACATTGGTTGCGCCTCAAAGTATGCACAGCAATTGCAGCAAATATACAGAGCAAGAGAAAAAAAAAGCATCAAATAAGACAAGTTGGCAACGCCCTTCGCCCCCGCTCGACACATTGTATGCATAACAGCTTACGACCCCTCTCCCTCTCCCATACGCCCTTCTTCGCTCAAGTCCAGTCAAGTCAGCAAGCGATGCCGCCATGGAAAAACTCAACTGGCGCGACTTATTGGCGCCACAGCCACCATTTTGTCTGGCCACATAAGTATGTGTGTGTGTGTGTGTATTGGTTGGCGCGTGTGCGTAGGAGTCCTATGCTCGCAAAAGGAATCTTAGCTTGTCGCCGATTCGTTTCGACCTCAGTAAGCATAAAGTGAAATTTTTGATACCCCGCACTTTAAGTAGGCACATAGGGTATGCAATACTTCTATGCAGCATGTAACAAGCGCACGAGCATAAGAAAAAACTCTATATAAGAATAAACAAGTATATATGAATGCATATAACACATCTTTCAGCTTGTGCAGGGTATTTTCGAGTCGAGCAATCGCTTTTTGCACTCGCCCGTCTGATTGCTTTTCTTTTACTGCGGCTCGGTGTGTGGGTGGCGTAGTTCGCGTCCAAAGGATAACAGAATGTCACGAAGCTGCGCCAATGTGGAGCCTTTTATGTAATTTCCACAATTTTTATTTGTGTGTTTGCGAGCAGATGACAAAATATAAAGAAGAACATATATATATATATATATAGATATAAGGAAAAATGTTGTCGCCAAACTCGTATAAATAGCCGGAGGCTAAGACATAAAAAAAAATGAATATACCGAATCCATAAAAACCACTGAGCAGCAGAGCCTATGCGGGGTCAATGTGATTAGAGAAGTTCGCGCATTCAAATTTGCTGATTTACAATTTCAATTTTATCTAGATGAAAATTATATTGTGTGTGTGTGTGTGTGTACATAGCCATTTGGCTGAGCAGGGTATTCAAAGTTAGTCGGCCATTAAACAAACTACTTCTTAGGTAGTCAAACAGGAACAAGCTCGTAAACTTTTTAAGTTTAGTTTGTTGTGTTTTATAGTTTATAGGACTACACGCAATTTGTAGGCATACATATAATATATGATGTGTAAGCGTGGCTGCTTGACTAGCAAATACCCTGTATTCAACCTTTATTCTATTTAGACAAACTAAACTAAACGGCTAAACGGTTTGGAATTTCAATCTTAAATAAATGCTGTGCTTGATATTCGATAAATATGTAAACTTAAGGGCGTAGATATGACAGTCTAATGGATATACCAAAAATCAATGGCAACAACAAACTTGCTAAAGCCTTAGAACTGGAAATATGCTCAAAAAAGCAGATAAAATATCTGAGATTTTGTTAATAGGAAGTAAACTACCAGAACACATATTTTAAAAAGTCTCCAGTTTCAAAACATGTTGAGATCGCAGTCGAGAAAGAACCGGCTATTGATTTTGATCAAGAATATGTGTATATACTTTATAGGGCCGCAGATGCTTCCTTATGCCTGTTATATACATTTGCACGAAAGCATGATACGTTTTTAACCATTTTCAAAATATTCTTATTCGTTTAAAAGAACATAGATAAAACTAATGTTCTACCTAGAGTTTATGTTCTGCTTAAATGGGAAGTATGATAGCTGAACATACATTATAATCTCTTAAGCTTCTAAAGTTGAGATCGTAGTGTTTATTCAGGCTCATAGACAGCTATGTCTAGATCAACTCAGTTTATACACCTTGCGCTGTCTAGGATGCTCTCTCGCTACCTGTTACAAACACAACTAACACTTACACTCCTTTTTCCCCATCATCTATTTCTTACCCCAATATAAACAGATTGCAAAAGCACTCAAAAATTAATATTTAACCGAGTAAACTCCCTTACTTAAAACAAACACTTATATATTCAAAACTTACCTCAATTCGCATTAGCCGAAAATAGTGCCAGGTTTAGTTGAAATAGTTGCAGTTGGTTTTCTTTTTTTTTTGAGTAGAACAAATTGTTGTTAATGTGCCTTTTTTTAATTTAAGAAAGTTTCGTGCTAATTGTTGTCGTTGTTGCGTTTACTTCGTTGTTGTTGTTCTTCTTCTTCTTGTTGTTGTAGTTAGTATTCTGCTTGTTCTTCTTCTTGTGCTGGTCGTTTTGTTATTTGTTTAAGAAATCTGTAAATAAAATGAAGTACGAGGCATGAGTGTGAGCATTTTGTGGCATAAATCTTTCAACAGTTGAGGTAAAATGCACTCGCAGCATCTCGAAGTTGCAGCACGCAATGCACTCAAAAGCTGTACGCATCGCATCTGAAAACGCATTTTTCCTGTTTTCATTTTCCATATTAGCAAAGCACGACCTCCGCGTTGAAGATGCTGCTGCCACTGGCTGGATACATAGATGCAACATGCTGCCGGCAGCACATATATGGACAATGCCACCAGCAGGCAGACGGGCAGCAAAGTTGCAACTGCATATGTAGAAGCTGAGCTAAAGAATGTTGCACCCGACTTTTCCATTAGCGACTTTTGTTTATAAAAATCAATCAACACCCAAAAGCCCAAAAGCTGAACAACAGCATGACCAAAATAGGCCGGCCCGGGGCCGAGGCATCGAGGCACCGAGTCCCCAACTAGGAGCACTTGCAGCTGGCCAAAGAATGCGGCTCCAGCCAGAGCCAACCATTAACAAGACAGCCCAGAGATAAGTGAAACACAAAATGAGCTATTGGCCAGCATAGAGAGTTGACCTGGCCAGCTCTGTGGCAGGTGCCACCATCAGCTGCGACTCATTGACACCCGCAACTAAAGACAAAAGCTGCGCGTGGGCGCTCCAAGCTAAGAGCCGAAAGCGAAAATGCGACCAATTGTGGCATCAACGTGGGCTGTTGCCCAGCCACTTGACAAGTTGTTTGACGGGTCGACAATTCGGCCTGGCTGATTGTAGGCCGATTGTTTGGCTTTGGTTCTATAACGTTTGATAACGGCACGTAGTTAAAGCGAATACAATCTGAGACCTTGGCACGATTCTCACAATCGTTGCGGCAGCGGCAGATACTCTCGGTATCTGGTTAGGCGCTGTGGCACGTACGATCCGTGGGCAGGGCTCATGATTGGATATGCTTGTTAACTACTCATATCTAAATAGTTGAGTGCTCAATTCACAAGAACAAGCTCAAGTGCGGGCTTATTTATGCGAATGCTTGAACTGTTTGGGAATTTCAATAACATGAAGACATAGCGGAGATATTTTAGGAGAAGAGAATCAAGAAGAGAAGAGAAGAAAAAATAGACAGTTAGACGACAATTAAAAGAGAAGGTAATGAAAGATTGAAAGAGAAGAAAACGGACAGAAAGAGAGAGCACAATTCCATCAAAAAGGATTAAACAGGAAGATGGGAAAGAGGCAAAATAAGCCAAATGGAAGAAGAATTATGAGGATACAAAGCAGACAATAGAAGAAATGAAGATAATTAAGAAATATAAGAAAATATTAACAGTCAACAGTTCGACCCAATTTATAATTTCATATGCACTTTCCTTTCCAAGTTAAATCTCTCAACAAATTTAAATTGATTTTATACCAGATAAATCACATAACGCACGATAAATCAGAAAAATATGTATAAAAAATAGCCCGCAGAAAGCTGTTTCCAAAATAAAAAGAGAGAGAGAGAAGAAAACTCGAAATGTGTTGAAAAATTCACAATGCGCAAAAGTTTGGCTAACGATAAAGGCCCACAGATTTTAATTAAACCAAAACAACACGCAGCCCCTATACACAGCTAAGATCCATATCTTATATATATTTATATATATATACATATATATATATGTGTGTGTGTGTGTGTGTGTATATGTAAAGATAAACTGTAGTATAGGGGCAACTAAAAATAGACAAAATTGAACGAAACTTTTTCAAGGTAAACAAAGCATAATTCGAAGAGCAGCATAAATCTAAAAGGCGAGATCCAATGGATTTTCCATGCCTTCCATTCCCTCTCGTAGAGATGTAGGGCGCATTAATGAAAGAAAACAGCAGTACCTTCTTCCCCAACCCCCCTCCACTGCGACGTGTGCCCAACTCTTGTCACAATTTTCATGGCACACTGAAAATAGAACGACATGCTGAGCAGGACGGAGGCTGTACAAGAGATCAGATCTACTAAAAAAACACCGGCAAAGTCCACGTCTGAAGAAGGTACGACGACATTTCAGTTGATCTTTGTGTAAAACCAGGGGCCAGTCGTTGATCATGTTATTCGTCAGTTTATGATGAGGCTGGCAAATCTCTAACGCCCCCCCAAAAAAATACATATACTTATATTGTGTATTCTATGCGCAATCGTCAGACGATTTGCTTAGCTCGGGCATTGGGCATTGGGTCTGGGGGGCCTTTAATTTGATTTTTACGCGAATGACTCATCGCTGAATTTTTAGATATATTCCGTGTGTGCATTTTAGAGGTCCAAACAGATGGTCCGAACAGCAGACTCATATGTTGCCGTTGAAAATTAGTTTGTGCTACAAACACAACACAAATACAATTGATGTCAGCGGAAATTGTCGGGCTCTGACTTAATACTACGACTAGCATCGAAATAATGTTTATGAAATGTGTCATAATTTGAAATTCAATTAATTCAATTCATTGAATTTACTTCATTTGTAAATTAAGACAACGATTTGCTAAGGAGAATGTTAACAAATTAAACGAGTGAATATGGATATCTGCGGCATACCGACGATTTAATGCCCTTTATAGAGATTTGCCTTTTGCAGATATGTGATGAAAATATTTGTGAAAGCAGACAAAACCTAAGAAGCTACTTTTCGCCGATTTTCCCTAAGTTTTGCATACTTATGGATCGAACTTTCCTATGGCAGCTGTATGATATAATAATCCGATCTAACATGCTGTTGATGCTGATCCCAAATTATATGCACACTTTGTAGAGTCGGAGATGTCACTTTGTATACCCTATGAAATGCTAAAAATTCTCAAGCGAAAAATATTTATATTTATACATTAATAATTGGCAAAATGTTCGTTTTGCAAATGTATGTAAGAGGAAGAAAAAAGAATACGTCTCCAATCCCATAAACTATATACATATAGTCGATGGGTCTAAATAAACGAAACGATCTCGGAAACTATAAAAGCTCGAGACTTTTATGTTTAAATATATTTTTTTTTTCATATATCACGCGCAAATAAAATTATAGCTTGTTCGCTATTTCTTTCATATTGAGAAACATCGATTTTGAGACAGTCTTTTTATGAATATCTCAAAGCTTATCAGAGCTAGAGAAATTCTTATATATTCCAGATCAAAAAAGCGCATGCTATCTATATCACATGAGAAACTATCTCAAATATTCCTTCTTACCATAGCTAATCTTAGTTCTATGCTTATTTTTGTTTACTGAATCGTTTAATTTCTATATACTACTTAGCTTGTTTTCACATTCAATCAAGTCTTTCAACTCTCTTGGCACAGCCGATCGTGAGTTTACAAATAATATTATCTTGTGTACATTTTAACGGGCTGCTGTTTGGTCCACAAAGATAAGATTTCGCTGGAATTTCGAAATGCAAATTGTAAAGGCAAATTAGAGCAGCGGCATGATAAACAACTGCAACTGCTTAAGCAAATAAACGCAAGAGTTTGGCCAGAGAAAGAGTGAGAACTAGTTGGCCCACCCAAAGCCAAGTTGGGTCAACTAGACAACTGGAAGCGAACTCTGACTTCGCCTGACTCCTGACACCGACTTCGAGATGCCAACTCCGGCTGCGAGCTGGGGTATGGCACTTTGGATGTAACTGCAGATAACCCCGGCTGTAATTTGAGTAAACAAGACGTTGAGTCGACAACGACGACGACGTCGACATCGTCGTCACTCGGGCAACTCTTGTGCTGCCACACAATGGGGCACAAATTTTGTATCACTATCAACAGCAACAACAACAATAACAACAACAATCACAATGAGCAGCCATTGGCTCTGGCTTATTGATGGCGAAATCCAGATAAAAGATGCATTAAAAGTAACAAAATACACAATAAATAAACACAAACAAAAGCAAACAAACAAATCAAATCGAATGACGTTCAATGGCCACAGAGAATATAAAAGGCGGGCGGGTGGGTTTGTGGGTGGTTGTGTGGGAGTGTGTGTGTTCAAGCGTGTGTGTGTGTGGGTGAGTGGCCTGTAATTTTCAATTAGCCTGCAACAAGGTGGCCCGAAAAAAGGGGGTTCATCACATAATGACAACAAATTATGTCAACAGATAAACATCAGTGGGCTAATTAAAACCCCTTCTTGTGTGTTTTTGTGTGTGTGTGCCACGTGTGTATACGCGTGTGTGTATGTGTGTGTGCATCTTGGGGCTCAGCTTAAGTCCAATTAAGGCTCACTTATGCTATCAAGGCTTATGAATGCTCATCAATTGGCAAATTTCTGGGCCGCCAGTCGCAGCGGCTTTCCGTCGGTTGCATCTACGCAACTTTTGCTGGCAAATGTTGCGGCACTTGAGGCCAATGCCAAGACATTTTATGATTGGCTGCCAAAACAACGCACAGTTCGCCCCATTCCCGGGCACTCTAATCTTCAGCAACTGTGGCTGCTGCCAGCTGCGCCTCCTACTTCCTCAGGGGTAGCAAAAAATTAGGCTCCCGCCAGTCGGGCTCCAATGGATTTTCGCACAAGTGAGTGCCAAAAGAGACAAACATATATACACACATATATATGCGCACATGCATACATACACTTAGAGAAAACAGGCAAGAGAAAAATATATTTAAATTTATATACAAAAAAAAAACAACAAGAATAAGCTTGAAATAAGTAACTCGCATGCTTATAACAAGCATAAGCTTGCTTAAAATGAGATCTTTTATAATCAAGTTCCTGTAGAAACAGAATCAAGTTTCAACTAAATTTTGTTCCTTAGATAGGCCCGATTTCTATTCATACAATCATTCAAAATTGTCAAAAACAAGAAGAAAACAGCGTAAATTAAGTACTTAATACTTATTTGTAGAATTTAC